ATATTGTAAAACTTTTATAAAACTTTTAATAAAAAAAAAAAAAGAAATTTCATGATTTCTTATATGGCCGCCACTTCACAGTCTATACAGACCATAAGCCTCTGCTGGGTTTGTTTACAACAAACATGCAAACCCCTCACATAATATCTCCTACAATGCTGAGATGGTCAATTTTCCTGTCAGCATATGACTACACACTGATTCACAAACCTGGAAAAGAAATGGGCCATGCAGATGGCCTCAGCAGATTACCTCTAAAACAGGTAGAGGCAGATCCTGCTCCTGCTATTAATATCCTCTCCATTCAGGAGTTACCTGAATCTCCCCTCAATGCTAGGGACGTGGCTGCAGAAACTGCCACTGATCACACGCTTACATGAGTGCTGACATGGGTGTTGTCAGGATGGCCTGACACGTGTCCAGATACTGAGTTTCAAAGCTTCTGGCAAAGGAAGCACGAGCTTTCCACATTCAAAGGGTGCCTGTTATGGGGTAGTAGGGTAGTCATCCCAGCCTCATTGAGGTCTAGAATCTTGATCTCTCTGCATAAGGGACATCAGGGTATAGTCCGGATGAAAGCGCTTGCGCGCAGCCATCTCTGGTGGCCTGGGCTCGATAAAGCCATCGAGGCCCAGCTGCACGGGTGTCAAGTGTGCCAACAGTCAAGGCCTGAAATGCCTCAGGCCCCTGTACACAGGTGGGAGGAAACACAAGCCCCTTGGTCAAGGGTACATATAGATTACGCTGTGCCCTTTCAGGGGCAATTCTTCCTTCTCCTCGTTGACAGCCATTCCAAGTGGCTAGAGGTTGTGCCTGTTTCCTCCACTACTACTGCTGGACCATCCAGGTGTTGAGAGGAATCTTCGCTTCTCATGGACTTCCAGATGTCCTGGTCTCAGATAACGGCCCCCAATTTACCTCTTTTGAGTTCCAGGCTTTTCTACAGGCCAACTTAATCCGGCACGCAACTTCAGCTCCATTCCACCCATCTTCCAATGGCCAGGCTGAGAGGATGGTGCGCACTACCAAAGATGCTCTCAAGAGACTCACTTATGGCAGCTGGCATCACAGGTTAGCTGATTTCCTTCTTGCACAACGCACCACACCTTGCACAGCCACAGGAAAGAGCCCAGCAGAACTCCGCTGGGGTCGCCACCTCATCACGAAACTGGACAGGCTGCACCCAGACCGGGTGGCTTCACAGGTGTCACAGCCGCAGGCACCTAGGAGACTACAGGTGGGCGATCCGGTCTAGGCAAGGAACTATGGTCCTGGACATCTCTGGGTCACAGCAGTAGTATGCAAGATCTCTGGGCCGCTGTCATACAAAGTGGCTTTGGACGATGGGCGCGTCATCTGACGGCACATAGACCAACTGCGCTGGTGGCTGCCCAGCAACACTTCTGCTCCTGGCTCTGCTCTCGGGGGGGGGGGAGGAGGACCACAATTATGATTGTGGACCACAGTCTCTTTGACCAACCGGACTTCCACCGGTTCCAGCTATTGCTCCAGAGAGGGAGTCATCCCACACTTCAGCTATTGCTCCAAAAAGGGGGTCATTCCAGGCTTCAGTAAGTGCTCCAAACAGGGAGTCTCCAGGAAGGGGGTTTGCCATGGAGGCGGTTCCTGACTCTGGCACCTCCGGTACATTCATGGGGGCCATGGGTTACTGGGGCACATCAGCCACTCAGGCCACTCCAGCTGCTGGTCTTGGGCTCGAGGGACAGTGCTCCCAAGAGGAGTCCATTGTGCATTTGGGGAATTCCACCCCACCACTGGACTTGGGGAATTCCACCCCCCCAAGGAACCCTGGCTTAGATTCAGAGGATCCAGCCAGTCAGCAGCTGGGTGGGTCACCTGAATCTTTGGGGCATCAAAGTCCTGGTCTGCCTAGCCTGGCAGGCGAGCTGCCAGGCCAGGCACACTCACCAGCCATCAGAAGGTCACAGCGGGCCAAGGGCCCACCCAAACATCTTGGGGACTATGTGAGGTTTCTGTCAAGTCAAGGGAACCTTACTAGTCCTTAAACAAATGCAGAACAAACACTCAGTAAAGGGGTGTTCTTCCCAGCATATTATTTTGTTGTATTTTTTTTTCTTTGAATAATTATAAATGTAAGGGTGCTCTGCCGGTGTGCAGGCATATTGTGCTTCACAATAACATCCAGTCCATTGAACGCATGTACCTGTGCTGCTACATAGTAAGGTATTATTGTTGCATCCAGGGGGGAGGGGTGTTATGTCCTGAGCCTGCTGAAGCATTCAGCAGGCTCAGAAATGTTGCAAAGGGTCCCGGGCAGACCAAAAGCTGCCTGGGACCAGACTGGCTGTCTCCCGCCTTGCGCGCATGTGCAAGGTGGGAAACAGCCTCTGGAATGATTGGTTGATGCTGTCCTTTGCAAGGACACTATAAAAAGGCCTGCGCGCCGTTTTTCTGTTGCTGGTTGTGGAATAGAACAATAAAGAAGACTTGTTGTTACACTATGCGTCTCTTCTTAATGCCTCCAACCTGCGGATCTAACAAGAGGGGAAAAAAGAGAGAAAAAAGAGAGAAAAAAGGAGCAGAAAGTTAAATAAGAAAGAAAGAAAGAATAAAGGAAAAGAAGAAATTGGGGTAAGGAGGAAAACACCAGCAAAACAGCAGCGCAGCAAATGAATGGCTGCATGTGGAGTCGGAGGCAGCTGGCAACAATCTCAAATACAAATTGCATATTATACTTTATATAATAAAGAAAGAATTGAAATAGACCAGAGACTGACCACCATCGTTCTAGTTCCAGTTCAAAGAAAAATATATGAAGTTCCAACTGTTCTAAATCCTGTGGAGAGCTGACTAGCTGTCATCAAACCATGAAGTGAGTCAGCGTGAAGAAGTGAGTCAGCGTGGAGANCTCGGCGAGGTGGGCGTAGGTCCTGGAATTGGGGAGGGGGGGAGGGTCTGCCTAATAGAGGGCAATTCCATTAAGACTGTGTATGGGAGGGGTAGATATGGCGGGAGCAGAGGGCCATATCACACTAGGGGAGGGCGCACCCGCTGTTTACGAGCTGTGGCACGCTCCGGCCCCCATGGCTCTTCTTGCAACCTAGGGGGTTTAGGATCTCAGGGCCTGGGCTTTCGGCTGATGCTGTGTAATGCCAGGTCCACGGTTAATAAAGCCCCCCTCATTTATGATTTGGTATTGGAGGGGGAGGTGGACCTGGCGGGTATTACGGAGACCTGGCTGGGCCAAGAGGGGGGGTGTGCCCCTCGTTGAAATGTGCCCGCCAGGTTACCGTGCATTTCACCAGCTGAGAGCCCAGGGTCGGGGTGGGGGGGTGGGAGTTATTATTAGGGAAGATGTTCTGTCCCCCGTCCAACCCACACCCCCCAACCAGTCAGCCGAGGCCTGAAAAACTGCTCGGCACAGCCAAAGACAAATGAATTTCTTGGCAGCAACTTCGTAGCTGCCTGCCAAGCCTTTACTGATAATGCACAGCAAACAGAGATAAATCCAAGATAACTTGCCAGAGTGCTTGCAACAGAATATCCAGCAAAAATTGTTCGTCACAAAAGTTTCACACGCCACACCCCTTGCTTATATAGCCAGTGGGGTGTGGCCCAGTGACTCAGCTGAACTATCTGGCACGGCGTGTCCGCTGCTGCGCACGCTTGTCCTTCCGACGCTGGCGTGGATCCAGCCAAGACGTATCCTCTTCGGAGTACGATACACCTGGCTCCTGGCTGATCCCAGAAGCACCTGGCTCCTGGCCAATCCCAGAAGCACCGGGCTCCTGGCCAATCCCAGAAGCACCGGGCTCCTGGCCAATCCCAGAAACACCGGGCTCCTGGCCAAACTCCTCTCCGTCGGAAAGCACCGAAGGCCACACCAGAGGGGAAGGGCCTGGAGAGGGAGGCCTGGCCATCTCCTCTCCTTCATGTTCAGAGCCTTCCTCCTCTGATGAGAGGGACCCACCAGACGGAGCCACAACAGAAGGCCTGGATCCAAGGGAGACCACTGTGCCGCAGACTGCCGGTTGTGAATCCCTAGGTGTGAAGTGGGGTCATGGGAGGCAGCAGGGCGTGCTGATTGTATACCTGGCTCCCCGCTATGTATCAGCAGCCCTACCCGAGCTACTCAGTGTGATAGCCGAGATGGCGATTGAGACCCCCAGACTGTTAGTCATGGGGGNAATGGACCTAGGTATTTGCAAGACCGCCTCCTACCAAACACCTCCCTTCGACCAGTCCGCTCCCACAGAGAGGGCCTCCTTAGAGTGCCGTCGGCCAGACAATGCCGGCTGGCGACCCCCAGGGGGAGAGCCTTCTCTGTGGCAGCTCCTGCCCTCTGGAATGACCTACCCCCCGACCTACGTACAGTTGCGGACCTGTACAGTTGCGGACCTGAAGGCCCATCTATTCTGTGCGGCCGGCCTGGCGTAGTTTGATTATGTTTCAGTGGGGTTTTTTGTATGGGTGTGTTTTTAGAACAGGCCTGTTATTTAATTCGATTTTAGAACAGAAACTATTTATTTATTATCGTGGTTTTTAGTATCGCCTGTTCACCGCCCTGAGTCCCGTAAGGGAGATAGGGCGGTATATAAATTTAATAAATAAAAATAAATAAATAAATAAACATAGAATGATAGATCCAGCTCAGGAGCCCAACTAAGCAGCCCAATGCTGGAAAAGAGGCAACTGAGAGCAGCGAACCAGCGACTGAACAGAAGACAAGAAGGGAGGCTGATGGAGGCAGTGAACTGGTGGCTCACAGTATATTCAGTAATTACCTAGACCAGTGATGGCGAACCTTTTAGAGACCGAGTGCACAAACTGCAACCCAAAACCCACTTATTTATTGCTGGGTGCTGGGTGGGTGTGGCCCACTGGGTGGGCGTGCCTACATAGGTCACGGCAGACTGGGTGGGCGTGTCCAGGGTGGGCATGGCCATCTCGATGTTGCTCCGGGGGGGGGATGCCTGTGGGGGCCGGGCAAAGTTGGGGGAGATCCAGGGGGTCTCTGGCGGGTGGGGCGGTGGGCAGGAGGCTCATCCTACAGGGTGAGGCGAGGCAGGAGGCAGGGGTTCCATTGCTGCGGGGCAAGGCAAGGTGAGGCAGGAGCCAGGGCAGGGGCTGGTTGCAGACAAAGGGGGGAGGAGGAGGAGGAAGAAGGTTTAAGCAAGCTTAGCAACCGGAGTGGGGATCCCCCCCAAAACAAACGTGCTTCATGGGTAACCTCGCAGCACAACAGAAGAGACCAAAACCTGCTGCAACCACCCAGCAGATGGGAGGGGAATAAAAACATGGAGGGAAGTGAGCAGTGGGGTACCACAAGGTTTCATCTTAGGCCCAGTACTCTTCAATATCTTCATAAATGACTTAGATGAAGGAATAGAAGGGGAACTCATCAAATTTGCAGATGACATGAAGCTGGCAGGAATACACAACACTGCAGAAGACAAGCTCAGGATCCAAAAAGATCTTGACAGGCTTGAACAATGGGCCCTATCCAACAAAATGAAATTTAATGTGGAGAAAAGCAAGATTTTACACTTAGGCAGGAAAACCCAAACTTACAAGTACAGATTAGGTGAAACCTGGCTCAAAAACAGTAACTGTGAGAGGGACCTTGGAGTCCTAGTGGACAATCAGTTAAATATGAGTATTAGTACAGCTTTATAAATCCTTAGTAAGTAAGACCACACCTGGAATACCGCATCCAGTTTTGGTCACCACATTACAAAAAAGATGTTGAGACTTTGGAAAAAGTGCTAAGAAGAGCAACTAAGATGATTAGGGGCCTGGAGACAAAAACATATGAAGAAGAGTTGCAGGAATTAGGTATGGCCAGTCTAGAGAAAAAAAGGACCAGGAGTGACATGATAGCAGTATTCCAGTATTTGAGGGGCTGCCACAAAGAAGAGGGGTGTTATATATTCGGTTCTTTAGGCATTGAATGAGGCAGAGTGTTGAAACAGCA